ACCTTCTCTCGACAAAGCAGTTGCCATCGCTAATTCCACCTACTTAATAGCGAATTGCACTTCCTGTTACCCAACACTACTGGGTAACTTCAACCCTACGACCAGGGTGTCATTCAGGAGTTTAAATCGAAGTTTAGAAAAAGAAACTGCTACTCCATATTATGACCATCATCGAATCCCACAGATATGTCCGGAACTGATTTCATGAAACGAGTACCTTTAGTAAACGTCATGTTCTACATAACTTCTACCTGGAAGGAGGTGCAGAATTCAACCGTCTCTATTTTCAAAGCAGGCTTTCCTTGTATTGCATAAATAGATTCTGAGCGCACAATGCAAACTTGACCTAAGACATATGAGCAAATTGTACCACATTCAAAAGCAATTGCTATGGATAATCTCTCAGGTGAATTGATTGAAGGCAAATTGGCTGATAGCCATCTGGTTAATTCTTATTTCTAAACATGTCACAAAACAGAACTAAACTGGGACCTGCCAACCACATCAATTTTAGCAGCTGTGAATGTGAAGGAACGCCAGATAAGCTTGTCACTGGCACGGTTGGAGTACGCATACGGTAAGCGCTTGGAGCGCTGGCGAATCGAACGGACTTACGCTGAACTGACGGCGTTAGCTTAGCCCGGGTGTACGCGCTGGTGAGACGGAAATTGAGCGAGCGTGAAGAACGATCCTAGCCGCACGTATTCGGCTAGACGCTGAGTCCTCAAAACGGACGCACAGGAGAGGGGTTACGGTAGACGCGCACTACACCTTTTCTCAGTTAATTGCCTCCATAACGCTTTCTAAGTTAGTGTTAAGGAAATAGGTTTCCTCCATACATCTTTCAGAACTCTCCTTAACGCAATCAAATATCAGCCAACTGGCGCGAACGCAACAAAGCGCCCCACTCGTTGGGTGACCAATCCCAACTCAACCAATGACATATCAGACTAGTTTACGACATGAGTTACCAGAGAATTTTCGGGGTGGCGCAGATCGCGTGCGATTTGGTGGGTGCCCAGTCGCGCTCGAGACTCGTATTCAGGCTTGATCGGCTACACACATGCTAGGGGGTATACTCGCAAAACTCACGTCGTGCCACTGGGCTTAGCAGTCACGCGTGATCATGGTGTTTGGCACTTAACCTTTCAAGCATTTCCACTTATACGTGAAATATGATTGCGCGGTGTGTCCGCCCACTTCATCGCTAAGATGTCCGAGGCACCCACGTGAATTAGTGCGAATTAATTGGTCCTTGGGAATAATGACATGAAGTAGCTCACAAATACCGCTGTAGATGATCAGCTGGCATGGAAGTTGGGCTAGTGACACCGGAGGGGCGTGGAGGGCGTGTGGACCGCAATGTGGTTCGGGGTGTCGCACGCTCACTGAGCGCAATATTGAAAGGTCCGCGTTTGATGGATGTAGCGATTCGAATCAGGATGAGTGTGTGCGCAGTGCACATTGGCATCCTCACCGAGGTTTCGCTCGCCTATCACCTTTGTTATGCCGTTATTCGATTGAGCTTGCTCCTGGGGAATATTTCATATCCTTGCGTCATGGTTCCATTGCGGTTGCTAAGACATGTAAGTGTCTGAGTGGTTCCTCCAACCGTTCTCACACATGATTTGTATTGTTGCGAAATGGTCTTTTACCAGGGGCGACACACACGAACAGAAAAAAGAATTCCGCAACACTCGGGGCGATTATACTATTCTGCCAGTTTCAAGGAATGATCTCAGTTAGGTGTTATTGCTAAACTGCAGTAAATAGCGGCGCACATGATTTGCTTAACTCAGAACAATCTAAGCCTTAGCAGATTATCAGCTAATCAGTAATGCCCGTGTTTTCGCCCTTATCATATGGCAAATTACGCGTTCCAATGACGCAGTTGGAGACCCGGACGTTGAGTATGCTCCAGATCAGTGACATCGTGCTTCAGTTTTGGTTGCCTTGTTTGAATTACATGTTCCACGTGGCAATGCCATTTTGTTTGCTCAGAACAACCCGTCATCCCGAAACAGTGACGTAGGTCACGTTCGACTATATAGAACTGTATAGTCTACCTTACGAACCTATAGATGTAGAAAATGTGGTTTCGTATGAAAAGCATCTTACACGCGTATAGTCACCCTACGTATGAGTACTGAATCCTTCAGATGCACAGCTGTCGAACAATTGAGAACTTATGCGAAATAAGCGTTGTTATCCTCAATAACTCGTAGTATGTCAGACAAGTGGAAGCTGATCTCGTAAGCGTAGGCAAGTATCAGACTGATACTACATAGTACAACAGCGACATGGTAGAGAAACGAAGCCCATGGCGACGCGACTGCACTGTACTTTATTTTGATGCGATAGTTTGCCTATCTTCGTGACCTATTGAGCTTCGCTCGGTGACAACATCTAGGTGCCATTAGGACTGCTCATACCAAACGTGTCAATGGTTAGAGCTCGGATCAACTCAGTCTCACCATTCTCTTCAGGGGTTGGTAGACGTCCATGATCCTTTGTCCTTAGAACAGCCACGGGATACAACAGGTGTTAGAGTATCTCACAGCTGGATTCGCGTAGATGGCGAGTGCCACGCGTAGTCTCTGATCGTGGGAGCGCACCATGCGGTGCTTAATGGTTTGCTACCGCCCGCTTCAATCCAGGCAACTCCTGATGAAATAGGTGTCAACCCGCCAATCCCCACATGCGGTTGCCCGTGGTCACATATGATTTGCCCTAGATTCTCAAAGGCTGCATCTGACAGGCCTCAAGCAGATCCCAATGTGACACTGCAATCACGCTCTCCAGTTGGACTACCTCCCCACTACATTGTGGGTCAAGCTGTTGGCCAAATGGTCTGGATGGAATCACTCAAGTGAACCTCCATATACGTGACCGCGTTGTTCGTCAGACTGTTGAGTGAACGGTTAATTGTAGTGCACCTCAACCAACAACCCTCTTCCGGAATGGGCAGCAGGAGAGTATAATCTGCCCTCTCGACCCAGTCGCCAACACTTCTTCTCCTCTATCCGTACCACTCTCTTCTTCCCCATTTATTGCGCAAGGGACTGTCACTGACCTCGTAACTAAACCTATCGAACCGAGATTCCCATTCCTCAATGGTTCATTTGACGTCCACACACTTTTTCAGATCGGCCAACAGCAGCACTAACTCTCACTATACACTCCCTCGATAGTGGTGTGTGCTGTCTCCGAAACACATATACAAGGTAACCGCTTCGTGACGAATCTGATGACAACGATAACAATCTAAGCGCCTCTGTCGATACGAAGTAAATAGCTCAAGGTTATTATGCTACCCGTATCGCCCTCAGCAATCATGCAGAATGCAATCTACTCGACTGAATGCAAGTCAATAGCCGTATGTGTGCTGTTGGACTTCCGAACTCTATTGCGGTGAATAATCACCGTCTGAGGATATCGTACATTTTCAATGCTTCTGTTCATGCCCCCAGTGACTGCAGTTCGGAGGGTATGAAGGATCACTTTTATCGTCACCAGGAATTACCGAGACTGTGATTGTTACTGGTTACATGAATGTCTTAGTGGGTCGTCTTTCGGACTCTGAACAACACCTGGAAGGCTGTTTCGGGTTGCATGCATGCCGAACAGACAGTGGCGATCGGTTCCTACAACTATGTGCTGACCTCAATGAGCATGTTGGCATCACTGCTTTCAAGCACCAACATTCACATCGTGTCACATGTGCCCACCGAATCCCTCGATGACGTTGACCCAAATTAACCCCGTTGCTGTAGGCCACACATGATGTACCTCAGTTCAAGACCGTCAGTCAATTTTGAGTATATGTTTACATTCGGACCAGGCTCTGGTGTTACATGGTTCACCTGTAATTGCGGTGACACCTATATATGGGGTACCTAATGATTCCATAACCCAGACGTACCTACAGCACCGTGGCGTGCCGTATACCTGGATCACGCTTCGGGAGGTTTTCGGCCTCGTTCGACACACAAAGTCAGCAACAATTGTCCGCCTTGAAGGGAGTACCACGGAATCTCCTGTCTTTGCTACTGGATGCCCCATTGTCCCGCGTTTGCGACAATAAATGCCCTAACCTTGCAACGAAGGCCGTCTGCGCTCTATTCGTGGCCCATCTTTTACCGCTCTGCGCCGTTGGTGCACTTAGATTGGCCAATACGAGCTTCCCTATGTACATACTGTTCCCAGAGTAGTTGATGCTCACAACTTTGGCTTCCTCATACGTCGCCGTTTGAACCCGTCTCCATCTTACGCCGTAACTACTTGCACCTCGGCGCAGCGCGAATATTTCAGGTAGGTAATCATGCGGTGCAACATAACATCATTTAGTTCACTCTACGCATGCGTCATCCGGCGGAGGTTAAGGCAAGAATTTTGAACACCTATGAAGAAGGCGATGAATGGAAGCAGGTTGCATCCGTGTTAAATGTCAACCTGATGACTTGCCGAGGTTGGATTACAACGTTAGAGTCAAACACACCAAAAGGAAAAGGTGGCGGGGCACGTCGAAATTCATTGACTGATATTCACGTGGATAATCTGGTGGAATGGGTCGAAGTGGAGCCTACCATAACCTTACAGTGCCTTCGTTTCCGATTGAAAGTGGAGCTCAACGTAGAGGTGAGCGTCAGCACAGTAGCTCGGTGTCTAGAGGGTTGCCTCATTACCATGAAAAAGCTACATGCTGTACCGGAGTCAATGAATGCGTTTGAGAACAAGAGACGAAGGAAGTCATGTGTTTTGCAGCTGATGAACTTGGAAGCTGAAGGGTGGCAACCTGTTTGGATCGATGAGACGAATTTCAATCTGTTTTGCGCCCGCACGTGACACACGTGCGCAGTGCACTGTAGCAAACACTCGTGGACAACTCTACACCTTATCGGCGCAATGACTGTAGATGGACTTTTGGAATATACCGTCTTAAGGGGGAGTCACAACAGGGAATGTTGTGCGCAGTGGTTGCAGCAAATTCTTGATGCCAACGGCACCGCTGTTACTGACAAGTGTCTGCTGATTTGTGACAACGCACCATGCCACACGGATCTGGAACGTGTGTTCCAAGAGGACCGTTACCAATCAGGGAGGCTATTGCGACTCGCCCCATATTCGCCTTCACTGAACCCCATAGAAGGCGTTTGCAGTATCATCAAGGCGAACGTCAAACAAGCCATACGGTGCGGATATCCCGAGATGCTGCGAGGAGATCCAGCTAGTGAGCTCAGTAAAATAGCATGGAGGATCCAGTTCCTTGAGAAGATTATATCGGAAGCACGAGCCAGCGTTACGCAGCACCATTGTAAACAAATGGTGGAACATGTCAGTGCGAAGTACGTGCGTGCAATACACTTAATGGATCTGTAAACATCTTTCATTTCCCTGAAATATTGCATTTATCGTTCACCAACTGTTTTACTTAAAAGCCACGTAAGTTTGCCTTGTGCAATACAGCTCTTCAATTTGGGCAACACTAGGACGTACTATCGGCAACCGCACTCTCGGTAGTTATCTTACTGTGTTTGTAATTCGCCGACGCGGCTGTCGCATCTCGACTGCTAATAAATCATAGCAATTACCATGGCAGCTGTAGTGCTCGCGATGTTAGTGGACCACGCATTAAGGTTTGGTTAAGTGAGGAACAGAGTGTCTTCGATGTCGCGGAAACATTCAGTATGTAGTCGCAGCAACTGTGGGCAGGAGCTGTGACGTTGTTTCCTTGCAATATGTGTTTAGAAACGCAGACAAGTACGTAGAAGTCCTCCGATGAGCGAATCAGAGAACGAGCAGTGGACAGTTAATACCCAGGGTCAAACACAACGCAATCATACTACCTTTACCAAGCACGGTTCGGTTGTGTAATTGTGGCGTACGGACTCGCATTCCCACCAACCTCCCATAGGCGCTGCACCAGTCCGCGGTGTGCAAACCCCACCAGCATAAGGTAATTGCATAAAGAGCAGAACACGCAAAGTGTCACTAACCCGGTACCCGCTTCACAGTTACGACAGTGCCTTCCCGCAAACATCCGTGCCACATATAGCACATTGCAGTTTGTTTGCCAATGCTGTCTTCCTCCGTCAAACCGATGAGTCCTCAAACTCAGCAGCTTATACAGGTAACTCTGCGGCACGTAATCTCATGTCATGTCTCCTCTGCTGCTCGCACTGTGCAGTGATTGCGCGCAAAGAAAAACCACTTACATGGATGGGTAGATGTCTGCAAGTGCGCTCAGTTAGCGAACGCACTGGGAACTATGAGGCAACACTTTGAGATTATCCCCAAGATCAATTAAATCGAGCAACGGTTCAATAAAGGCTATAAGCGAGTGCAATCACGAGTCCCCTATCAACCACATCACCAAACCACGGTGAGCTGCCAATGTGCAGCACGCGCGCACTCACACTTATTCGACTCGCCATTTTCGTCAAGCGCTGACTCTACAGTGGAAGTGCCGGACCCAGAGACGAGCAGCGATCCACACCTTCTCACTGCCCCTCTAGCGCCACTAGCCCAAATTCCATGCTAGCCGATTCTCCACATGAGCGAAACTCGTCGTGTAAACAGTGAGTCCCATTCATCGACCCGAAAAGAGAGAACTTCAGTTTAATAGGTGGGTGCCCTAATAGCGGAATTGCGCCCAATGGTGAGTGATGGATAAAGGGCAAACAAAAGCCAGTGACTGAAAAATGCGCACTTACAGGCCGACACCTTCAGGCGCTACGTGAACTGCGTACTAAGAACGTAGTTGTGATGAAACCGGATAAGGGCTCTGGAGTTGTGGTCATGAATAAGGCCGAGTACGCTCAGAAAATGAGTAACATACTCAACGACACGAGCAAATTCGAACGACTTAATAAGATGGAGAACGTAGCCGACGTTGAAACAAGCATTGCTGCCCATCTTGAAATGCTTCTGCTTCATCGCGTGATTGATAGTGACACCTATAATTGTTTGAAGCCATGTGGCAACACTACCCCGCAGTTATATGGGTCACCGAAGACACACAAGAGTGGAGTTCCACTTAGGCCGATTCTATCAATGGTAAATGCGCCGCAGCATAAATTGGCTCGCTGGCTAGTGAGGATATTTTCGCTACTGAGACAAATGTCCAATCCATATAGTCTTAAAGATTCGTTTCAACTTATCGGTGAGTTAGACGACATCAACCTCTACGATAAGGTCATGTGTTCCTTGGATGTTGAATCTCTATTCACCAACGTTCCACTACAGCAAACTGTTGATTACATATGTGAGCTAGTTGAGCAATCTAGTTATTCGTTACCAATTCCAGTCGAATTTCTAAAGGAATCCTTACTTCTGTGTACAGCAAATGTTGGCTTCCACTTTCAGAACATCCCATATCGTCGAATCGATGGTGTGGCAATGGGTAGCCCACTATGCCCTGTACTTGCCGATTTCTTCATTCTGATGATAGAAAGAGGCATATCCGCAGAAATAGCCCAGCCACCATATTATAAGCGTTATGTGGATGACATATTGGCCTTTTGTTCATCGGAGCAGCAGATTGTCCCATTTGTGCAGCAACTCAACAGTGCACATACCAACTTGCGGGTCACCTGCGAAGTGGAACAAAACAACTGTCTGCCATTCTTAGACATCCTCATCAGTCGCAGGGATGACGGGCTCATTAAAAGGTCTATCTACAGGAAAGCAACCTGGTCCGGCCAATACTTGCACTTCACCAGCTTCACAGCAGTGCGGTACAAGCTGACCCTTGTGAAAACTTTAGTTACTCGTGCTAGACGAATTTGCTCGGCTGATTGTCTAGCCGACGAGCTAGAGTGAATTACAACAACACTCATTGCAAATGGTTATCCACGTAAATTTATAGAGAAGCACAGCCAACAGCGAGACCCGAAAGACTTGGTACATACCGCAGCCAAGATAAAGATCTATATCGAGTTGTCTCTCAAAGGTGACTTTACTGTATTGAGAACCACGAAACGTCTAACCTCTGCTACGCAGAGAAGTTACTGTGCCGCTCAGGTTGTGGTCATCAATAGAACCTGTAACTTGCCGGTGCCTCCAACGAAGGAAGCTCAACCGATAGGGGCCAACTCACACTGCATATACAAATTCGTGTGCGACTGCGGAAACAGATACATAGGCAGAAGCAATCGGTCTTTGACTTCCCGAATAAAGGAACATGTGCCAAGGTGGGTTCAACGTGAAATTGACCAGCATCCCTGTCCCACTGAAGTTCCGTGCTTGCGCAAGCCGCCAGCTTCCACAATAGGTAAACACCTACTCACTACGCGTCACCGGATAGAGCTTGGATCAGCGTTCACACTTGTATTACGTCACCCTAATCCCCGCTTCCTCCGTTTCGCCGAGGCCGTTGCGATAAGCCGGATGAAGCCGGCCCTGTGTGTTCAAAAGCAATTATTTATCAGCTTAAGACTGCCGTGGACATAGGGGTGGAACTTCCGTCATTCATTTTGCACCCCATGCTTATTCGGTCACACGCATATTTAAGTATATAGTTGCATACCGGTTATTGTTAATGGTACTGAGGAGACAATACGAAATGCATGCATCTACCAGTTTTCGTCTTCTTACCGTGCTTTTTAAAAGCAGAGTAGTTTTACCGATTACATCGGTGATTTGTGTGCGTAGGATAGCCGACGAATCGTCTCTATCAACAAAGCATCACTGATGACAAGCAGTTTCCGACTACGGTTACGTGATAACAATTTGAACGAATCCATTGGGGCTCCATTAGAGTTTTATGGATGGACGAGGTGCGAGCCCTGTTCATCACTTGGTCCACTCAATCATGATGCCACAGGGTTGGCATAAACAACATTAAGGAATGTTCAACCATCTCGTGACCCTGATGAACTGTGAACGTAGGCCATACCACGTAGGCTAAACTGTCTAGCAATGTACTCTGGCGTTACTGAATCACACTGATTTTGGTGTTGTACATAAGTGGTGCTCAAGTAGTCGTGTATGTGTGCGATAAGGCAGACTCGGTTTACTATCAAGTGCCTTTCCCAAATGATTGATGCCCAGGGCACCGATGTTACTGACAAGTGTCTGCTTATATACGACCGTGTGCCATTACACACGGATCTGGGACGCGCGTTCCAAGATGAGCATTAACCACCAGGAAGACTTGCGACTCGCAATATATTCGCCCTCCTTGAACGCAATAGATTTCCGCAGCTCGTGTGCATCTACCACTTTTGTGCACGCAACGTACGCAAATCTGAGGTATTTATATAATAAATCGTGATGGCTAAATCCTTCCTCGCACCGTGCAGTAGGAAGCAACCTAAGGAGGACAACACATTAAGCAGACCACCTGGTTTTCGTGCATATCTGGGGATATATTCTTTGTTTGTTTCCCTTTTGTAATAACTTTATTTTTCCTACCTCGGCTAAGTTGCGTTCTAACTGCGCCTCGTCAAATCGTTGTTGAAAGGGCCAGGAGCTTTTGTAGTCTGTACTCACTAACTACTGAGTAACATTGTCTATACAACAAAATACTTTGAAACGGATGTCCTGAGAAAATCATCCAACTTCACGGCGAACCATAAAAAGCTGTCAATTCTTACTGTCACGAAAATGATTATTTTCCTGTTTCTACCGCTCAAAGAGCATACTGTCGCGAAGGATGCTTGACAGTAAATCAGGTCTACCGTATCGCTGAGATACATGACCACACTTGACCACAACACATCTACACTGCCCAAAAACTGTTATCATGAAGAATTGCCAGAGTACATTGCCAGACAGTTCCGCCTCCGTGGTATGAAGAAGTTCATGGGTTCAACTGATTCAAGGGATGGCTGACCATTTCGGAATGTAATTAAAGCCATCACTGTGGCAACAATAGTAAGTGGCCCAAGCGACGCACAGGATGCGCGCCTCGTCCATCCCCAAGCTTCAAATGAAGTCCAGGTGAATTTGTTCAAGTTATTGTTGTGTAACCGCAGTCGGAAACTGCTTGCCAACAGTGAGGTCGTGCGCAATGCACAACACCTGACGAATAGTCCTTGGCACAATCGTCCGGCAATTGTGTTAGCACCCCTAAATCTGCCGTAGAACCAACAAATGGTGAAGTTCTGGCCATTCAAGGTAATCGATTACGCCGTCTAAATCGCCATGCGTCTGTCATCATTCTTCTCAATAACGATTGATCAACTCAATGTATGGCGTCCATCGACAGTGTTAGCTACTGGGACAGTAATGCTCGTCACAGTGACATGGCTATCCCAGCATTCATCTGACGTGATGGGTTGCTCATCGCGGTGAAGTCTACGATGAGGTAAGATCTTGTTCTTAGTATGACTGATCATCCTGATTAGCGTATCTTACAATTGACCCTACGTATATCAAGCATCTGCTGCGAGTT